TTTAATTAAAGTATATTACAAACTTTTAATTTAGACCCTAAAGAATCATATTAGCTTGTACAAAAATGGCATTATATGACCCCTTTAAGAAAATCAAATGATTATTATTATTTTTGCCAAATATCAGTGCTAATTTTTTTTTCTGATAACTTTGTTTTTTAATGATTGTTTTATTTCTGCTATTGATATATATATATATATATATAGATGTTGTTGCCCTCTCCCCACATATGAAGTGTACATTGACTGTAGTTTAGATTGCAGACTACTTTAAATTATGCTTGACATTCATTGCAGCTTCGCCAACACTGACCCGTCCTGCCCACGTAGTGCTGCACAATATACACGCAGCATGAATGTTCACAGTAGGGCTAAAGAGAGACATTTATACGCGAGATAGGGACAGACAGTGCATGTGAACATCTTTTGTTCTGAGAACAGCTCCATCAGTGTTACTGTACAACTCTACGACGTCACTTCCAGGAATGTTTCCATTAAACATCAATTTTATCATTGTCAATGTTTCCCACTCTCTAACTGCATAAATAGAGTCCTGACAAGCGGACTGTAGGGGGAAATATAGCATTGTTGAATGATATTGCTTCGGATTCACATTTTATGCATTTGTACTTCATTGAAAAATGAAGCTGTGATGAACTCACTTCACGTTTTTTCAAATATGGAATTTTCTGGCGATGATTTTAGAGGAAGGATATTCAGAGCATCACAGTTTCCAGTGTGTCTGAAGCCTCGCTCACGTGGTTTAAAAGTCATTGTTACTGGAAGAGCTAAAACTGGATTCAATAGTGTGTCATTAATGCCTTAACAAAGAATAAAGCACAATATTTGATTAAAATAAATGTGCTTTTATTCAATGTACTGTATATATATCTCTAGTTTATCGTTTTTGCGACTGGTTTGTCATTAAAATCACAACTGCCATCACCGAGAAAGCGTTACAGTAAACAAGTGAGGCTATTATGTGTTGAGAGACTCCTTGTTAATCTTCCTTAAAGCAAAAAGATTTGTTTATAAAAGATTTCTTTCAGAAAACACGACAACCTCATTGCAGCTATAGCATAAACTAAAGCACATGATACACCAGTATTCAATATTCACACAATAAATCATTGTGTTGATCAAAGTAAGAGGTTTTAAACTTCAGTAGAAAATGTTATTACAATTCATATCTGTGAATCAGTTCAAAAATTAATTTCCACAGAGCAGGGTTAAAACGTTTTACTAAAGCTACAAGTAGGCACATTTAGCATTACGTTCATTATTAAGCATTGTTGAATGAAATGATCGCATTTGCAAATATTTATTGTTATACCTCGATATTGTCTGCCTCTGCTTACCCAGCACTGGGCTTGTTAACGGTGACCAATAAACTAGCTCTGATAACCTCTGGCCTCTAGACACACACTCCTGACACACAAAACAAGAGGGACTTTTAACAAGACATTGGCGATATCCAGAAAATCAGGAATGTTTGGGTGTTTTCAACACTGTTCGTGTCAACCAACACAAAAACAGCTTAAATACTGAAAAACTAAAGATAAAGAAAATAAAGATAAAAAAGTATTTGTCAAGAATATTGCCTGCAGAAAGCAAAAATCACAGAATCAATGACCCTTAATCATATGACTGCAGCAGCCTCACACACACACACACACACACACACACACACACACACTGTTGAGCTCCACCACCACAGCTGACTGTGAGCTTATGATACTCAACAGCTGATAGACTCTCTTCTGCTCTGCTTGAGCTACAAATCACCAGAAACAACACAGACAGCTTCACCTGAACACTCAACAATCATCATATCCCTGAAATGCATGTTTTAGAGACAGCTTGACTGGCAGGATGACGCTGAGAAACCCATCCCTAAACCAGGACTAATGATCCAAATGCCATTGTAAATGCATGAGGGGGAGAAGCATTCAGAGACGACACAACACACTGATCAATAATCACAATTTCACAATGGGCTTAAATTACAAAAATCAGGAGCAATTTACTATTAAGGTTCCATTGGTTAACATGGTTAACATGAATACATTTATTAATCTAAATTTCAACATTTACTAATACATTTTTTCAATAAAAATCTGTTAATATTATTTAATGATAATTAATAAATAGTGTAACAAATGCATTGCTCATTGTTAGTTAGTAATGATTTAACTAGCGTTAACCTTATTGTAGTGTTACCCAAAAATCTAATATAATAATATATGTACACATAAACAGAGTGATATTTCTTCCAAATTTGTAATAGACCGATAGAAAGACAGAGAGAAATGTTTTGGTATCAGGTTTATCAAATTTGTTCATTTACCAAATAAACGGTTTCTGCATGTGCACTTATAGAAGAAAAATAATGACTATTGCTATTTGAAACAACAAAAAAAAGCGTGCTGAATTGCACTAATTGGAAATTTTGTTTCAATGTTGAATATTCTGAAATATTCAATAAATTTGAATTTATATCGATTATAGGTTATATTTTCAAACGGACTGAATATTTTGGAAGTGTAGGATTATTGAATTTTTTATTAATGAAAATGAGTGTGAAATATTGAATTTCAGACCCTAAAAAAGTAACCCCTGAAAATACAATGGATTAAAATGCAAGCAATGGTAATGCAATTTTTTTTTTTTTTTTTTTTTTTTTTTTTTAGTGCAATTCAACATGCTTTGTAAACAATGACCCTCTGTATTAATGTAACATGTAACATGTATAACGCTGGTGTTCTGACACCGTTAACTCTCGCGCTGCCACTCGGGAACGACAGGGTTATTAGGCTAAATTCCCCCCGTTTCTTTCACAAACGGAATTGATTCTTTACCTTTATACTTCTCAAGCACATCCTCGTACGCCTGGAGATACTCCAACTCGTCGGCGAGCATGTACGGAGCCGGTCCGTAACGGGCCATTACCGGAGCGGTCGAGACTGGTCATTTACCGAACTGAAGCCCTGCCCGAGTGACCGAGCGAGCGAGCGATCAGCGCGGCGACCGGCGACGCCCCTGCCGCCCGCCCACATCCACAACCCGGCCAATGAACGGGGCTTCCTCCCTTCAGCCGTACTCTCCGCGTGCGCCCGGTAAGAGGACGAGCTGTGGTGTTATATCAGTCACTGTCGTTCACTGTATCATCACTCCCAGCAATAACACAAATCTGTATCATATGAGATTTTGCAGGCTCATTTTACAAATTTTACTCTTTTTGACACTGTGCAACGTATGTTCAGCATTCATCCGGAATGCTATATATATATATCAAATATGCGACTACATGCACTTGATAATGTGTCATCATGCTCATGCACAGTCATCCTCTATTTTAGACGCGCACGCTCGTGTTCACTGGCTACCATGTGTCTGTGCGCGTGCACGTGCTCTCCGAGGTCCTAGAACCAGAAGATTCATGATTCCTGTCCTCGCGTTTACACTGGGAACATGATGCGCCTCAACTACTGTCATTTACAACATCTCTTCAAGCAGAAGCAGAGCAATCTGAGCTTCCATAACACTTCAGACCATGCAGCTTTGTTTCTAATCTCACAATGCATGTTATTTTATCTGTCTATGTTATTATTTCTCAATACCAAATGATGAACTGCAGACTGTTTGTATGGCTATTACGTTTTTTATAGACAGACAGACAGACAGACAGACAGACAGACAGACAGACAGACAGACAGACAGACAGACAGATAGATAGATAGATAGATAGATAGATAGATAGATAGATAGATAGATAGATAGATAGATAGATAGACACAGATATAGATAGATTTTTTTTACAGTGTAGATAGACACAGAGATAGATAGATAGATAGATAGATAGATAGATAGATAGATAGATAGATAGATAGATAGATAGATAGATAGACAGACAGACAGACAGACAGACAGACAGACAGACAGACAGACAGACAGACAGACAGATAGATAGATAGATAGATAGATAGATAGATAGATAGATAGATAGATAGATAGATAGATAGATAGATAGATAGATAGATAGATAGATAGAGACAGGATGATAGATAGATATTTTATTATTATGTCATCACTGTTAAAAATAAAGGTTCTTTATTGGCATCGATGGTTCCGTGAAGAATCTTAATGGAATCTTTCAATTCCACAAAAGGTTCTTTAGATAATTAAAATGTTCTTCTGGTCTTTTAAGAACTTTTCTCTAAAGTGTTCTTTGGGTAAACCCCAGAATGGTTCATTGACACTGTGAAAAACCTCTTTTGTAGAGTTTTGTTTGAGGAGAACACTGCCATGTTGGACAGTTTGCTACAGACGCCTATAGGAGAGCATGTCCTCTCATTCCAGAGCTGGGAAACACACACATTACAGATCGCTGATTCATCTTTCAGCCTTGAGCTTTTAAAAACAACACTGGCTTCCAGCTACCAAAACACTTTCAGAGGCCATCACGTTCCACTTATTATATTCTCTTATGATGATGACCTGTATATTTGATCCCGACCACCACCCAACAGTGTGGTGGTGCCTTTATAATCCAGTGCCTTTATAATACTTAACGTAAAACCCAAACATTTGCCATCATTTGTAATTCTTTATCCAGCTCTCGCATCTGTAGATCATTGATCAGACAGTAATGACCACAGGCCTCCTCATTTTGAATGGGTGTTTATGGGTGCAGACAGACGGTAAGATATTTTGGTTTCAGTTTCACAGTCCATTAGAAGAAACATTCCACTTATTATTTTTTCTTATGATAATGATGATGATGACCTGTAGATTTTACAGGAGCAAATATGATCCCGAACACCACCCATAACCAGCTAAAAGTTCCAGTGCCTTTTAATACTTAACCTTAAATCCCAAGCAAAGTGAATTAGTCATCGTTTGTAATTATGTATCCAGCTCTTGCATCATTGATCAAACAGTAAAATGACAACAGGCCTCAGGATTTTGAATGGATGTGTATGGGATGTTTGGTTTCCTAC